GTAACTGTAATCAGAGGAGAAAGGCTCCAGGGCCAGTATGTACACGACAGTGTTTTTGTTCTCCTGGACTATTTCGGTACCAATTAACCGACCTCGGGAGACGGGACGCTTGGTTGGTCTGGGCGAATACCGAGCCAAGGTTCGCTCCTCGCATAGACTTTGTGCTAGTGCACCACATGTTCTACACCACCTTTCGTCCGTGATACTGTTAACATTTGAAAACTGATCTGCTTATAGTAGAGTCTTCATGAGAGTCTCACGTGCAGCATATGAATACGGGTTCCGTTTTTCTCCATCCCAGGGGAACGATTGTTCTTCCAGACAAACGTCTGGCTAAAAACCCCTTATGCGTACTACGTATGGAATGCATAATGAACATTGTTCGGATTCCGCTTTAGTGTAATATTTTTTTGCAGTCATAGGCTTTGGCGCTTTACGCAGCGCCATAAACAAATGGGAAGTCTCTGATTAACACAAGTTTTGCCATCGAGGGCAAAGTTCAACATTTCTTCCACCGATGCATATATCCGCGATAGCAAGAATAAGCCCTAACGACGCACAACATTTCTGTCCAGACTGACCATGATTGACTGGTACAGTACGAGTTGAATAAAAGGATAAGGTCATTCTTCTTTAATGAATCACTCTTCTGAGATGCGTTACCGATTCGACTTTCATTCAGAAACGTAGCGGCGACTTAAATGCGTATGTGGTCTATACAATGACTTGTGGTAGCCAACCAAGTAAAGGGGGTGATTTTGTCCTCTCAGACGAGCCTGGTACCGATTAACCGATGCTGGAGGTTTGGAAAGCTCGGTTGGTCTAGACGAGTGTCAAACATTCCGGTTCGACTTGAACAATACGTATGCGTTCGTTCGCCACTTGACACTACAACACTTCCATCCACGGTATGAGAGACAGAAATACTTCCCAATTTGAAGTACCGTTTACAACGGATGCGTTGGTCGACACCGTATACGATTAAATGTTTCAGAAGAAGTTTTTTCAGGAATGTCTGGAAACTAGTAAGGCCCGCCACCTCATGCGCAGACGATTAGTCACCAACGCCGTTACACATCTGATTCACTTCAACTAGATATTGCCAAAGACTGTTACTGTTAGAAGACTTCATCGATAGTGCGAACTTAGAACGTATCAATCCGGTTCCACCTGTACCTCGACGCCGCCCTCTTCATGAACTTTCGGTCTTTGGCTTCGGATTGTCTTCACATGACGTTATCTCTTTTCAATAGCATTGTCTCCTCAGCTGCTCTTCGTTTCGTTCCGTGCGATTTTGTGGATGATCAAACCTCACATACTGTCTGTTATTTTGGCATACTAGTCCATCCGTTGAAGGCGGCAGCCAGCAAAACCTCCCAAGTAAGAAAGCTGTCTTCGGCTGTTTCTTCAGGGCTATTTGTGCACAACTCCTTTAGCTTCTACATATGCGTAGATGAGAGTGTTGTCATCATCATAGGAAATGCTTAGCTCAAAATGAATGGATATCCTGAAAAAAAGAATCTACGAAGAAATGTTGATCAATGGAAATAGCGCATTAGGATTCAGTGCCGCAAACGTTCGTAGGAATCGGATACCAACTAGAAATGCTAATTTTCTTCATGGAAATACCACAGATTGACACCAGGCCTGTCTGGAGCCACTGAAAATTAGTCATCTATGCATAGATCGGTGGTTAGCAATCTGTAGTATTCATTTGTTCGTATAGGACCCTTTCCGAGTTTTATGGTAAAGTCGCAGCTCACAATACAACTGGTTCCTGAAATTTCTTTCTGGGATAAACCTGTGATTCTCAAGGATAGCACAAGGGACGCTGTGCGGTCCAAAGACGGCCTAGCTAAGCAACCCTCGAGGCCGTTCAGCCGAGTGGAGTCTGGGGAGACTTCCATGCAACTTTTGTCGTCATATTCTCGTCCGAGTCTTAGTTTTACTACTTTTTTGCGCGTCTTTGCCGATGCCGATTTGGGCGTTTCCTTTGCCGTTTCTGCGATTTCTGAACGAACACTTCCATCATTCTTTCAAACTAGACGCCCCAAAACTATTGCGAACTGCGCCTTTGGCTCCCATATCTTTGGTTGGTAAGATAAAGTCTCTGACATTTATCAATCCTGCCTGAAGATGTATCCCCGGATTCAAATGTCACTCGAAATCGTAGCGGCAATTTGAATGCTTGTGAGGCCTTACAATGACTTGCGGTGGCCAACCGCTGTGTAAGTCAGTGCTTTTGCCATTCCAGCCGAGTCTGGTACCCATCAAGAATGGGAGGCTTGGTTAGCCTGGGCGAGTATCGATCTGTGATTCGATATCACACCATGTCAGTGCAATACTGTATCACTCGCTACTTCACCACCACCACCTTCTTCTTGAAGTAAGACCATCGAAGTACCCAATCGATTACCATCCTAGAGCTATTACGGAAACGAGAGTGCCATTTTCAAGTTGAAATTTGCCTTTACAAAAGTTTCTCGAAGAAACACGTCGAGACGCGCCCAAACTCGTGGTAAGGCTGTTTGACATGAAGGCTGTGCTTCCACGTGGAAGGATTTTGGCAGTATTCACCACGTTTTCATACCAATTATCTGTCGGCGTTCAGTGCAGAACCTCACAGTTCGCTCTCCCTGTCCTCACCTTTCCTTGTTACTCCTTCAGAATTACCTTTTCTTTTTACTTTTTTGTTATGGTTGTATATCCTTGTGAATACATCTTGTACATAGTTCTCTCATAACCTTAGGAATTCTCTTGAGATGTCTTATGTCGTACTGGTACTCGGAGGTGGTGTAGAGGCAAGTGGGCCCACTTCAAGCATGCATGGTCATGGGCTCGAATCCAGGATCGATATCCGCTTGAGTCAACTGAGCCTTCCATCCCTCCGGGGTCGCTTACTTGGTATCAGACTGGTCCAGGAGGTTAAAAGCACTGACTTGTACATTGACTGTTCATCGCCATTGTGTAGGGCATATACGCATTCAATACTCCACTACGATCCTGAATGGAATTTGAAGGTGATTTCTTAGAGGGTGATTTTCTAGACGGGATTGATTGAAGCCCCGAGACCTGTCAATCCTTACGCATTCTACTGGATTTCTTACGAAAAATGAACTCTTCTAATTTCCCAAGTTCATTGGCAAACGATCCTTTCTCGCGTATGTCAAAATGAATGCAGAGGCTCTTGAAAACGCAGGTGAGCTTGTAGGTCTATCAATACTTCATCCCTGCAATAAATACTCATTAGATTTGCAACGGTACTTTAGCGCAGTTTCAGTAGAGCCGTTTCCGATTGTTGATGTGCACGTTGTTCTGTTTATGAGAGATCACACAGAACGGAACAGAAAAATGTTAACGAGCAACATATGTAACCGAACAGTTTATCTCGATAACGCATGCTTTGACTACTTTTGCTCAACAGTGCCGTCTGCAGCATTAGTTCACCGGTTCCGCATATTCAGAATTGAATGAAAAAGTAAAAAAATGGGGAAACAAGTTAAATTGTTCTTTTCAGTTTCTAGTACGTCGAGTTACTAACTATGGCTGTGATTTGTACAGTCAATGATTGCACAAAACTGTTGAAATTATGAGTAGCACCCACGTCGCCTGCTACTCCTGGATAACCTGTTTGTTCATTTCTATACCATCCGCTCTTTTCGACAACTTGTTTCCTTAAGAATTTGGTACTCGTTATACACTTTCTAATGTTCCGATAAAAAAGCTTGCTATGTATCCGTCATCCTGTATATATTACGGTGTTCACGTAATTTTTTCCAGCTCTATTTTGCCAACTTCATGATGAGGTTCCTTTGATCCAGGCAAACCGCGTAGTTTAAACGATCATTGATATCACTGAGAGCAGATCCTGAAAAGTAACTTTTTAGTGGATCTAGTTAAGCATGACTTTTGTACACGTAGGAGTTGATAGCATATGGGAGAACTCGTCGGAAGATGGTCACACATGTGAATTCATGAGACGGAGGCCTGGAAACACGTGAACGATAGTTTTTCCTTGATTCGAACCCACATCACGAACATTCCGGCCTTGTGCATCGATCGAGAGCGTCTGCTTTCCATAAAATCTTCTAGTTTAGTAGAGGTTCAACTCTTATCACACTCTTGCTGTAGCAGTTTTAGAATTGACCCAGAGTTGTAGGAGTCCCGGGCTCCTAATCACTTTCCGTTTACCCAAATCATCTAACCTTAATGTTTCACAATTGACAAAACATTACAACACTCTATTAATATTGAGCATGACTTGTTAAGGATTTCGTAGGAACAAAAATCGTGTGTCGTGAAGAGACGCCCCCCCCCCCCGTCCCCCAATTTCGGTGAAGCCACTGTTTTTTCTCATCGTTTGTTTCTAGTTTGCAGGATTTCCTCCCTATGCTGCTGTAAAAAATAGCCGTGGTCCTATTTTTGGTTTGATCATTCGTTATTTTCCTACAACTGAAAAGCTACTCCTTACTACCTGTCCTAAGGGAAATCTGACCAGATCAGGAGTTTCGGACTCTTTGCTATAATAATTTCGACTCATTAGAAACGGTAGATGGATTGATAGGAAGCTACTCGCTCAGATGAGTCAGGCCTTCCAACCCTCTAACCAGTAAGACCGGTTGATGGCTACCATAAACGCTTGAGAGCAGAAAAGCACAGAACTGCCTATCGTCTGTCGGACCACACACACATTCCAAAACGCCAAAAAGATTCTGAAGGGAGTCGAATACGAGGGTGTATCCGAAAGATGGAATTGACTAAACCGAAGATTTTATCCTTTTAACCTTGAAGAGCCGCCTCGAGCCTTCCATCTACTACATCGAGGTACCGAACCCTTGTGTCTTCTCAACTGATTGCGGTGTTTCTTATTTTCGCTGTGACCTTTTTCGTGAATCGTACTGTTCCTGTCTTGCAACTATTTATGCTAATGTGCGGTTTCCGTAGCGATAACACTTTTTTGTTTGTCATTCGCTCGGTCATAATGATCCATTGAATTGCAGATGTCCGATCCAAGTTCGAGCTTGAACATATCGGAGGCGTTCGCGAAACCCGTGCGAAGATATGGACGCTATTATAATCCTCCATCTTTCGAGTCATGGACAGGATTACCAGGTCCCCGGAAACTTCTCTGGTGGGCTCTACTGGATAAAGACGAGTCGAACATACCAGATAACGAATCTGTGAGATCACTTTTGAATTTCTTATGACTCAGTATAATTGAAATGGCGCACACCTAACTTAGATACTCGATAAAACAGTGCCTGTTCACCAAATCACGAAGTTCGTATCCCCATCGAATCGAAAAATGTTCGCTACTTGGCTTGGACATTCCACTGTTCTGGTTCAGATGGAAGGCGTACGGTAATATTAAAATTACTGCATCCAAAATTAAGGTTGTTTGGGGGCATCATTGAACATTGGAAGCCCCACCGATGTGATTTATGCAGGAAATTATGCAAATTTGTCGTTCAACATGCTGACCATAGATGTGGCATCACCATTAACTTTGGAAGTTGACTTCTCCCTGAATCGACCCAAAGTTATGGTTGCACATACATATGTTTATAGTGAAAGACACTTTTCTCAACTTGCAGATTCATTACGGATCCAATTTGGTCGAAAAGGGCCTCTTTCCTACAAAGTATCGGCCCAAGGCGTTACAGACCACCACCGATGGAAATGGAAGACTTGCCCGAGGTATGAATTAGAAAGAGCCAAGAATTTATTTACAAACCGAAATAATCCTGATTGTTACAGATTCACTTCGCGGTCATTTCACACGATCATTATGACCATTTGGATGTGGACACAGTCATTAGGATCAACAGGTAATGGTAGCGTTTGCAGTTGTTGAGCAATGGATGCTCCATAATTATAGAGAACCCTTCAAATACACTGTAGTTTTCAAAGGCATACTGGTATTCCTTTTTCTGGCTTGTCGACATTTTATTAATGAAGTAACCAGGTGGCCAAAGAAGAGATAAGCATCGTTTTCGCACCAAAAGAAGCATTGCAGACATGCCAACAGTCCCTGGAAATCATTATCGTTGCCCAACATGGAAATACCCACCCTAGAATCGACCTCTTTTCTGCGGGTGTGTGTGAGCAGAAGAATGGAAGAAAGGATTTGATGCTGAGTGTCCTTGCCTCCATTACAGCACAGAAGTGAGAAAAAAATGTGTTGAAGTGAACGAGTTCTAAGGTGTGCTATGCATGTCTTGTCTCTACCAAGGTTTGCCTTTAGTGAGTGGGCAGAGCTTTGCTTTATCAGTTATCTTTATCATCAATCCTGTATCAGAGACGCGCTCCCTCTTAAAATTCTTCTCGAGGTTTTGCAATGGTGCAAATGCGGTAGTTAAAAATGCACAGGTCGTCGGGTTTTGCTTCCCAGGCCGTCCTGGCCACTTGTCACTATATCACTTTGGCCGTGGAGCTATAAGATTAGAATTACAGGGTGTCCCAAAATTATGGGCGCCAATTCATAGCAATATATTTGAGGCTTCTCAGCTGCGGAAGATGATGGAATCTCTATGCACGTTAGCCAGCACCATTTGCTACAACATGCTACAATCACATTTCGAAATACCCCCCCC